TTTTTTTTTTTTTTTTTTTTTTTTGTTTTTTTGATATGGCTCCAATTGGGATATTGCTGTTTTGCACTTCATAACTGGGCGCCAGCGGGATTCCTGTGGATGAGGCGGGAAACTCTAAAGATGAAACGCGTACGTGCAGTGTGTATTGGCGGGAAAATAATACATTGTCCTTCTGTGATCGCTCTGCCCTTGTGTTAAGTACTAATTACTAATTATATAATTCAACAGAAAAGTGTGTAATTAATATCAGCGATAAGAATGTGAAAGTTGCGATTCAAATGAATAGCATATAACTGGTGAAAAACGTTTTGAAATTCGTTACAAGATTCCCTTTAATGTCAAACCAAGTTTCAATTGTAAATTTAAAAAGCTAGCAAACAAAGAATAAAACTACAAATCAACCTTCATTAATGGTGATAAAGGTTGACTGGTGCCTCCTTTCATCATTTTTGAACGAATTCCAACTTCTATGAATGCCAAAATATAGCCGGGGGACAGACTCTCTATAGCTTTCTATTGCCCGCTGGGGATTGATAAATTAGAAAAAAACGTGACTTGAAATTTTCACGAATGCTTGGCAGGGTATGGAAAATATTCATTCTTTGAAGCTATTATAAATATACATGGTCTGGAGGTCAAAGCTCTTTTTCGATTATATTTAGTTCAAGGGGTCTCGCTCTAAATCGAAAACTTTCCTTGTGCAGGTATTTTTCCTTTCGGGTCTATCAAAAGCGAGGTAAACAACGTTTTTGCCCTCCTTGGTACTGAATCATGGTCTAGATTAGGCCGAGTGAAAAACATAACACTCGTTTTAATGACTTCGCAAATGACACTTCCATATAAAACCTTATAAATTCTTGGTATTCCACTACGTCATCGAAAACATTTTCTGGGGAATCATTTATATATAGGAAAAAATATTCAATAGGCCGGAAGAACAACCAAAACTATATATCTCAGCCGGATTTCGAGTTAAAAGATGCTGTAGATACATACGAAGATACGAGCGATTGATTTAACTCATAAATTATTTGAAATTTATGGGACTGCCAACTTGGTTTGCCATTGAGAGGCACAAGCATGGCGACCAAATCCCGCATCTACTAAGTTAAAACGTATTATTAAAAATATAATAAAAGTAATAATAATAATAATAATAATAATAATACTTCTACTACTTTGATAATTCGTGACAGAATATTGTTGAAAAAATATAAACATGCAAATTATTCATTTCTTTGTGTTTTTCTAGGACAACAATCTCAACCAATCGACGAATGTTAATTATATTATTATAACTTTTGAAGGTTTTGAAATATTCCTAAGAGCTTTTTATCGATCAAATTTTGTTTCTTAACCAATTCCTCGAAGTTTCCACCATACTG